AAATGGGAAGTCGTAACTCCGACGTGATTGTGTTCAGGTGCTTTTGAAGTCGAAACAATTATTAAACCAATAAGATTGTGTAGTGTATTAAGAATTATGACTTTGCTAATGTTTTCAAGTGGAACCTGAGAGGATGTTTATTCAGTTTCAGAGGGAGTTGTTTTATGGTGACGCCCCATAAAACAGAGGGAGTGTGTGTTGTAGACAGGGGATTGGACAGTAGAGGGACCCACCCATATTTTGGGGAAAATTATAAGTACTGGGTTTGAACAAAGAACATTAGAGCGGACATTGTAATTTGGAAAACACTGCTCTCCGGGTGATCATGACATCTGTAAACTTATGCTGAAATCTTGTGATATGAATAAAACTTATGATCAAAGTTCAGTATAAGCGGACTCCTTTGTTTAACAGCATAATTAGCAACATTGACTCGACACTACAATTGGCAAAAACATTTTCTCAGTTTCCCACTAGTAATTCCTACTTGGAGAGTCATTCAAGTTAAACTTCCTAGTCTGAACTAGGAATTTCCGATAGCATTAGAATGTGTGATCAACAACAGTAGGGTCTGGGTCGCTGCGTGTCCAGCCCCCATACCCGAACCACTGCGGAGTGAGTGTCAGTAGCCTACTATGTGCCCGTGCTATGTGCAGTCAAACTAGTATAATTATTGTTTGTGAAGTAATAAGTATGTTGATTATTATTAAGGTTCTGGTCTTCTGAGATACCAACAAGTAGGCTATACAACAAACAAGATATCTATAGAATTAAGAAACTATAGTAAATAAAGTAATAAAATAAATGCAAAAAATGTAATATCAAATTATCATGTTGGTTGCTTTGAGACTGAGTCATGTCTACACAATATTATTTACAAGGAGCGGTTTCAATCTTTTTCACAGCCTACATCTGTCTGCAGTTTTATTTTATGGGTGATCTTTTCCATTAAATACATTTATTTCAATCTACCACTCCACTCTTCCATAGTAGGAATGTCCTCATTTAACCAATGCTATTTAATACATTTCTTTGCTACAGACGAGGATATTCAACAGGTGGGCGTTTTGAAAACGTTCAGGGATTACTCCAAGTAATGGCACTCTTATGGTTCTTACGTTTTTATTTTATTAATGGCAAAACTGTTTTCTATGATTGATTTCACTTAATATTTTGGTATATTGTTGCCCTCTTTGCAGTCAGAAAACATCCGTTGGCCGACCAAAAACGTTGCGGGTGACGTTGCCCATACGTTGCCCATATAGTAACTTATCTAGGATCAGCTATCTCTCCCCAAACCGTACCAGAAAATAACAGAACTGACCCAAGATCAGTACTGGCAACTTCAAGCCAACGAAATGCGGAGCGCGTTCCAGCTCAACAATCGGCTGCAGTGAGGTTTCTTTCTGCGTTGTTCGGCGCATATAAGAATATCAAAGTAAATGAATCAAATAAACGCTTTTCCAGGCAGTTTGAATGTATATTCTTCTGCGCAAGCTTGTGCAGAATCTGTCTACGTTGACCTGCAACTCAGATTCGCATCATGACTTCAACAATAAAAGGCGACTTGGAAGGTACCCGATCCTCTGGGGCGTTTCGGACGTCCCCAGTGGCTGCTTTACAGGTGGAGATGGGGGATATGCCGTTGCAGATAAGGAGACAGCAGCTGGCAATGAATTATTGGGTCAACCTAGAAGGATATGGGGTGTCTCATCCTGCGAAAGGGATTTTACAGGCATGCTGGGAACATGAGCGAAGACCGAACACGAGCTTTGGGTGGGTGGGTAATACCCATGCGAAGAAGATGGGACTGTATGGAAGGGAGTTTAGTCCAACGGTAGTTATTACTGTAAATCCACCATGGCTACTCCCGCCTCCAGTAGTTGATCTAGAAGTGTTGGAGAGACTACAGAAAGATAGGGAGGGGGTTGATCCAGCTGATTTCTTTAAGAGACGTCTGGAAACTGTGTATCAGGATTTTGTGGCCATTTACACAGATGGTTCAAAAGATCCAAGGACAGGACGTACTGGGTCAGCATTTGTAGTGCAGGAGTGTGGGGTGGAAGTCAGGAAACGTATTACAGATCATCTGGCTGTATATACGGCGGAGCTGATGGCCATACTGTTGGCCTTGCAGTGGGTGGAGGAAGTTAAGCCAGATAGAATAGTTATTTGCTCTGACTCATGTGCAGTGTTAATTAGTCTCCAGTCCTTTAGCTCACGTAGTGACAATACCTGCTTTATGAGGTGCTACAAACCCATGGCAGGATTAAACAGATGGGTATTCAGATAAGATTTACTTGGGTTCCAGCCCATTTGGGGGTGGAGGGGAACGAGGCTGTAGATGAACAGGCTAAACAAGCACTTAGTAGTGGGGATGTTGAAGTGTCAATGAGCAAGGCAGAGGCAAAAATACTGATATATACGGTGATGGTGCAGAGATGGCAGGAGCAGTGGAATAGAAATAATAAGGGAAGGCATTTATTTCAGGTACAGAGGAAAGTCGGGTAGGGGAGGATGGCAGGAAGAGAGGAGGCTATTTTTACAAGATTAAGGGTGGGACACAGCCAGTTGAATAAGACATTAAATGTGATAGGAAAGCATCCATCAGGAAAGTGTGATTATTGTCTGGAAATAGAGACTGTGGAGCATGTATTGCTACAGTGTGGGCAGTATCAGAGGGAAAGAGAGAGGATGATATTTAGTATGAGGGAGAAGGGGATACAGGAACTTAGTTTAAAGAGTATATTGAGCAGAACGTCATTAGATATAGTCTAAAATATTTTGTTATATTTGTTAAGAGAAACGGGGTTGGCTTTAGTTTCTCCCTGTCTCTGGCCCACATTCCAGTACGGTAGGTGGCGGTAATGCACCATAATGTTGGATGCCAACCGCCGATAAACCCCACTGAAGAAGAAGTACATGATCCTCCCATGTGGTCCTCCTCTTTCCGGGTAAGTGAAGTATGCAACAAAACAATGTCATTGTAGTCGCTAGTATGTAATGTTATGGAGATTGACTTGTAGCGTTTTACGACATTTCTCAATAAATCACTATGCATTTTCTTTGATCTGTCAAGGTTTTCAATGAAAATCGTAGCTATAGGCCTACTCCACAGTTTCAGTTAGCTAGCTAAAGCTAGCTGGCTAGGCTACAGTCGATGGAGGTTCACGGTGGGCGCAGGGTTTTGTTCTAGCCAACATCTACACCTGATTCAACTAGTTTGAGTGGTTAATTACTTTAGTCCACGTGTCAAACTCATTCCACGGAAGGGGCCGAGTGTCTGCAGGTTTAAGATCCACCCATGTACTTGATTGACGAAGTAAGGTCACTAATTACTAACGAACTCCCCTCAGCTGATTGTTTACGTGTTAATTGAAAGGAAAAACCGAAAACCCGCAGACACTCGGCCCTCCGTGGAATGAGTTTGACACCCCTGCTAAATTTAGTCTGTTACTGTTAGCCTACTGTTACTGCGTTTTTAGAACAAAATCCGGCGCCTGCTGTATTTGAATTACATTTATGCTTACATTGAATTATACTTATCTCAAAGCTGACATTTTCTGTACTGCCTATATTATTGGTAGGCCTAATAGAGCTAATTCAACTTGTCTTTGCAAAGCCTTTCTAAAGACAGTTTTAGATCTTGTGGAGCAAACAATTGCAAACAATGGATGAAAAGGGACAACAAAATAGCAACGCTCACATCCATAGTGCATGTGCACTCCCGAGTGGCGCAGTGGTCTAAGGCACTGCATCGCAGTTCTAGCTGTGCCACTAGAGATCCTGGTTCGTATCCAGGCTCTGTCGTAGCCGGCCGCGACGGGAGACCCATGGGGCGGCGCACAATTGGCCCAGCGTCGTCCAGGGTAGGGGAGGGAATGGCTGGCAGGGATGTTGGTAGAGCATGGTGTTTGCAACGCCAGGGTTGTGGGTTCGATTCCCGCGGGGGGCCAGTATGAAAAATAAATAATGTGTGCACTCACTAACTGTAAGTCGCTCTGGATAAGAGCGTCTGCTAAATGACGTAAATGTAAAATGTGTATTTATCCAATGGTCATCTTGTTATCCATCATTCACATTCTTAACATTTGTGGACACGACCTGTAGTTTTTGTTACAAATTAAGTACATCTTTAATGCTCAGTTAAAAGTATTTATTAAAATAAGTAGCCTACCTACATAGCTGTGAAATACAATTCTAAACTTTTTATATTCTGTTTCCTTTGCAGCTCCAAATAAAGACCCTTCACCCCTACCACCCTTCTATTCAGACTTACTGCTGACACCTTTAGTTTCTCTCTTTCTTTCTCGGTCGCTTTCTTTCTATCCATCCTCTTGATACAGATCTCTTGATCCATCCTCTGGCTGCATTTTAAGTAAGTGGAGACTTTTTCTCTTTGAATTCAGATTTCTTCCCATTTCTTGTGTTCTGACAAACCAAAACAGGTTGTAGTTCAAAAATGCAAACCAACTGTAGGAGATTATCTAAAAAGTGTATCTTAAAATAAGTAACCAAATCCCACTAGCCCAGGTATTGTTTCATCTGTCAACTAGAGGCTATGGCAGGTAGCCTATATCTAGGCTGCAATAGTAGCCAACCGTTAGTATGACACGTTTTGATGTTAGTGTGGTATGTGGGGAAATGTTAAAGCGTCAGGCTTATGTTTAGTACCAGGTGAGGTCCATTATCAGATCTGACCCATATGATTGAGTAATTGAAACCCACCTTCAAACACATACACACATAGCACTTTTTTAATGGGTTTGAGAAGGGTGAGGGCTTGACGTTGAATGTGCACTCAATGTCAGCTCTTTAGTTGGCCAAACTCTATTAGGCCTACCAATAATATAGGCAGTACAAACTCTTTATTAATTGCTATTGTTAGTATAATTTTAATCTTTCAATCTCAAGTTCTCCTTGTCAATTCATTCCATCAGTCAAAGTTATGTGTATAGGGATATTATTTCTGACACTTTTGTATCCACCTTTCATGCAGAATGGCTCCTGGCTCCACCCGTAAGCTGTGTCCTAGTTGTAAAACATCAATAGGAGTAGCGTCAAAGAAATGCAAGTTCTGTGGTGCAAAAATACAGCTAAAGGTAAAGTTAGAGGCCCAAAAAATGAAGGCAACAGATGAATGGGCAAATAAGACCATGAAACATGGAAGATATACAACCTTGATTAATGCAGCAAACAAGCTGGTAAGTTTTATGTTTCCCTCTAAAAATATTTCTGCATTTCTAGCGTAGGGAAATGATAGACCCAATGCACTTATTTGTTGTTGTCTCATTGTGTCATTTAAGACTGTAAATGTACATTTTTGACTGTTATTTTTTGTTTATGGAAGTTATTTTGTCATTAATGATTCCAGGTACATAGGTTCCACAAGATTGGAGTGTACCCCCTGCTACTCCTCAGCAAAAGGAAGAAGGATAACATTTGGTCGTCGACTGCACTGTGTCCTCACAGTGGTATGATGAATCAGACCTCAATGGCAGCAATCCAAAGGTTCTATGAGGTAATTGTGAAAGGTATTTGTACAGAAATGTTTGTCTACCTAAAGACCTTATCCTTCAACCACCACATCTGTCAGACTGTGAAACTTTTTTTCCACTTACGCAATATCGCCAGTCAGCCCCTCCCTCTTCTGCCACTCTCATCCATGCATTCATCTTCTCCCGAATAGACTATTGCAACTCACTACTCCCCAGCATCAACACAAGCTCCCTCCATAAGCTCCAAATTGTTCAAAACTCAGCAGCCCGTCTTCTAACCCACACTTTATCCTGGCAGCACATCACCCCCATCCTCCGTGAATTCCACTGGCTCCCTGTCTCCCACCGCATGAATTACAAGATCCTCCTGACCTAAAAAGCTCTCCCCCACCTTGCTCCCCCTTACCTCTCCTTCTTCTCCCCTGCCAACCCTCATGCTCTCTCCGCTCAACCTCAGCTGGCCACCTTGTCATCGCCAGGTCCAATCTTCAGAGTTTCAGTGACGGCCTTCTCCAGGGTTGCTCCTAGGTGCTGGAACTCCCTCCCTCCAGCCATCCGTGACTCGGAGTCCATCATCATCTTTCAGTCCCGCCTAAAAACCCACCTCTTCACCATGGCCTGCCCTTACCTCCCCCCTCCACCATTCTCACACACACCTCTTCTGTCTCACACACTCGCACACATACGTGCAACACCTGCTCACTCACTCACATACTCACACTTCACACCCTATCCCTTCATTTAGCCCTTACCTCTTTATCCCCGTTTTATACCTGGTTTTAACATGCATTATTTGTCCGGATTGTGCCCACATTTTCAGACAGGTGTAGACGATTAAAAGAAGCATTGTGATCGGATTGTGATCAGATCTTCCTGACCATGTCTGGAGATGACAGTGACACCATTTTAAATCATCCTGCCTTCTAAAATCATTGACTTATGGAATATGTGTCTTAAAATAAATAAGTATTATTTTGAAAGAATAGCAGTCAAATAATTTGCATTCAGGGAGGGACCAGGAAATCTGTTCACAATGCGGACACAGTGGATGGATAAGACCATGTGTAGCCGCATTTCTGAAAATGTGAGCACAATCACTATGTGGACAAGATCAGGACATGTTAGCGGCAGGTATAAACAAGTCTTTTGTTTAATGTTTTTCTTCCTTTTTTTAGTCTGGTGTTTAGTTAATTGTTGATTGTTTATTTCTACAATTGTAAAGCTATGTACGTTTCATGCATTATTGTTATTATTTAAGTAGAAGATTTAGTTCAGGCAAGCAACATTTCAACACATTCTTTTCACATATCCTGTGTAGAAGTTAATCTATAAACTGGGTGGTTCCAGCCCTGAATGCTGATTGGCTGAAAGTCGTGGTATATCAATCCATATACCACGGGTATGACAAAACATTTATTTTTACTGCTCTAATTATGTTGGTAACCAGTTTATAATAGCAATAAGGGACCTCAGGGGTTTGTGGTATATGGCCAATATACCACGGCTAAGTGCTGTTTCCAGGCACTCCGCATTGCGTCAAGCGTAAGAACAGCCCTTAGCCATGGTATATTGGCCATATACCACACCTCCTCAGGCCTTATTGCTTAAGTATACATGCTCACCTCTGCCAATTGGAAAATGTGGTCCACTTGTCTGTCCCATTTCCTTAATTTATTCTATTTCGCAGAGGCAATCAACACCCATGCCCTCACACCACAACCCTCCAACCCTCCTCCTGTTGCTGCCCAAGAACTGTCTGATACAGTTGCACCCCAGGAGACCGATTTCATCCTCACCCAGGTTGAACCCCCAATATCCCCCACCACCCAGGAGACCAGCTACACTATCCTCAACCAGGTTGAACCCCCAATAATTCCCACCGCCCAGGAGACCAGCTACCCCCAAACCGAACCAAAGAAGACGGGGAGAAAGTCCTGTCACTCTCAAAAAAACCTCCAAACCGCTGAGCAGGACACAGTCAACCCCATCCAACTCCGACCAAGGAAGAGGAAATATGACTACATGCAAAAAGGTAAATCAATATCTAACTTATGTTGTTTATTCATCAATCTTAATGACGTCAATAACTTCAATTATGATTTTAATAAATGAATAAAAAAATGCCAGTGGTTGATGGTCTCCTACTTTGCAGGAGGCAGGCATACGCTCCTAGAAAAAAGGGTTCTTCAGTTGTCCCCTTAGGAGAACCCTTTTTGGTTCTAGGTAGAACCCTTTTTGGTTCCAGGTAGAACCATGGAACGAAAAGGGTTCTACCTGGAACCAAAACGGGTTATTCAAAGGGTTCTCTAATGGGGACAGCCAAAGAACCATTTAAGAGTAGTCTAAGGCTAGGCATAAATCACAGGAGGTTGGTGGCACCTTAATTGGGGAGGACGGGCTTGTGGTAACGGCTTGAGCGGAATGAGTTGAATGGTATCAAATACACCAAACACATGGTTTCCATTTGTTTGATGCCAATCCATTTGCTCCATTCCAGCCATTATCTTGAGCCGTCCTCCCATCAGCAGCCTCCATTGGCATAGATGTAAAGTTAATACTGCAAATGACTGGCATGCTAACTTGATTAATGTTCTGATCGGTGGTGATTTTAAGTAAATACATGTATTTATTGTTTCAGAGTGTCCAGTGCATCCTGGGCAAACGATTTTCCCTATTCTAGAAATCCTTGCCAATAGAACTTCAAAGGAGGTAAGTAATCTGCAGTACATTGAAATTCCTGTGACTGTATTTACAGGCTAATCCTAGTGCAACACCAATTCTAGTTAACTTGCAGTACATAGACCTTGTAGTTAGTGGCAATATGTAACTTTTTGGGTGACCCCGACCAAATTCACATAGAAATATGAGTTATAGATATCATTATACTTGAAAGCAAGTCTATGAAGCGGTAGATATGTTCTATGTGTGCTATTTCTATGCCTCCCGTTCTTAAGTTTTGTTTTTGAGTCTTTTATTTTGGTTTTGTACACCAGCTTCAAACAGCTGAAACAACAATATTTTTGGTTATTGAAAATATATTTCACAGCGGTGTAGATGGTATAATTATTCTCTACATTATACTTAAACACAAACTGAAATTAGGCAAACTATTAATGTTTTAGCAACCATGAAATGGTAATGATTTCTGCATAGTGTGACATTAAAATAAAAAATACATTTCTATTTCTATTTGTTGCATAAGGGTCAGGAGCAGAAAGTGAGGTGGAAGCCATGCTCTGGATGGTATGTTTACTTCAACTAATCTCCTAGAATGAAGTGAGGATACACTCAACACCATATGTATTTGGACAGTGAAGCTAAGATGTAAAATTTGACTCTGAACTCCAGCATTTTGGATTTGAGATCAAATGTTTCATATGAGACGATAGTACAGAATGTCACCTTTTTACAATTTAGAAATGAAAGCCCTTTATGTATATAGGCCCCCCATTTTTGAAGAAGCCATAAGTATTTAGACAAATTCACTTATAGTGTAATAAGGTTATAGTACCTGAAACCTTTGATTTAAAATATTAAATTCTGGAGTCTAGATCCAAATTTCACATTTTAGCTTCACTGTCCAAATACATATGGTTTTGGCTGTACCTTGGTATTGGATCTAACATTACAGTGCCTTCCAAAAATATTCATACCCCTTGGACTTTTTCACATTTTATTGTGTTACAAAGTGGGATTTAAATGGATTTCATAGTAATTTTCTGTCAACAATGGACACTAAATAACTAAAATATAGTTGTTGCTAAAGTATTCACCCCGAGTAAATACATTTTAGAAACGCCTTTGGCAGCGAGTACAGCTGAGTCTTCTTGGGTAAGTCTCTAAGAGCTTTACACACCAGGATTGTGCAATATTAGCCCATTATTCTTTTCATAATTCTCCAAGCTCTGTCAATATGTTGGGGATCATGATGGGGCGGCAGGTAGCTTAGTGGTTAAGAGCATTGTGCCAGTAACCGAAAGGTCGCTGGTTCTAATCCCCGAGCCAACTAGGTGAAAAATCTGTCGATGTGCCCTTGAGCAAGGCACTTAACCCTAATTGCTCCTGTAAGTCGCTCTGGATAAGAGCGTCTGCTAAATGACTAAAATGTAAAATGTAAATGTAGACAGAAATTCTCAAGTCTTGCAATAGATTTTCAATTAGATTTAAGTCCAAACTTTAACTTGGCCACTCAGGAACATTCACTGTCTTCTTGGTAAGCAACTCCAGTGTAGATGTGTTATTTATTTAGTTATTGTCCTGCAAGAAGGGGAATTCCTCTCCCAGTGTCTGGTGTAAAGCAGACTAAATCAGGTTTTCCTCTTTGATTTTGCCTGTGCTTAGGTCCATCCCGTTTCTTTTCATCCTGAAAAACTCCCCAGTCTTTGCTGATGTTAAGCATACCCATACCATGATGCAGCCACCACCATGCTTGAAAATAAGGAGGCAGTTACTCAGTGATGTGTTGTTTGGATTAATCCCAAACATAAGGCTTTGCATTTAGGCCAAAAAGTGTATTCCTTTGCTGTGCTCTTTTGCAGTATTAGTTTAGTGCCTTGTTGCATGTTTTGGTTTATTTTTATTCTTAATATTTTTATTTTCACTGTAATTTTAAGTCATTATTGTGGAGTCACTACAATGTTGTCCCATCCTCAGTTTTCTACACTGACAGCCATTGAACGGTGTAACTGTTTTAAAATCACCAATGGCCTCATGGTAACATCCCTGAGCAGTTTCATTCCGGTCTTGCAGCTCAGAAGGACGACTGTATCTTTGTGTCTGGGTGGTTTAATACATAATCCACAGCATAATTATTAACTTGACTATGCTTAAAGAGATATTCAATGTCTGATTTGTTATTGTTACCCATCTACCAATCACTGCCCTTCTTTATGATGCTTTCCAAAAGCTCCCTGGTCTTTATAGTTTTATCTGAGCTTGAAATTCAATACTTGACTGAGGGACCTTTACATTTTAGCTTCACTGTCTAAATCCATATGGTGTTGAGTGTACAGTATATCCTGACTTCATTCTAGGAGATTAGTTGAAGTAAACATACCATCCAGAGCATGGCTTCCACCTCACTTTCTGCTCCTGACCCCCAACAAATAGAAATGTATGGGGGACAGAGGAATGTCAACCCCTATTATTTTACAGAGTGAGTCCATGTAACTTATGTGATTTGTTAAACCAAATTTAACTTGTGAACTAATTTAGGCATATCTAAACAAAGGGGCTGAATACTTATGCAACGACTATATTTTAGTTATGATTTTTTATTAATCTTAATCAAAATGCTTGAATGGTTCAGTAATTACTATTATTGTTGGTAGGTTATTATATGCTGGTTTATATTCCACTTTGACATTAGAGTACACTATTTTGTGTAAATTGTTGACAAAAAATTGCAATTAAATCCATTTTAATTCAACTTTGTAACACAATAAAATGTGAAGAAATCCAAAGGGTATGAATAATTTTGCAAGGCACTGTATGTAGTTAAAAATATATATTTGAGAGAAGGCGGCGCTCTGCCAACGTGAGACAAGGTACAACCAAAAATCATAAAACCCTTTGAAAGGAATAGGTGCAACCCTTGCTCACGATTTAAATATTGAATGATTTATTTGCTACTTCTGCTTAAAAACATGACATTCCTTTTTATGTTTTCTTTCTTGTCTTACAGTGGCAAGAAATGGGATGATGACTGGATCAAGGCCGTAGACTGGGTTTCTCCTGTTTAACCTCTACTTTAGGCACAAATGGATTGCTCACCCTCCCTTCACATTTATCACTGTCAATGGTAGGCCAAGTTCTTCATGATTTAACGGTGAAACGTTCAAGGAGCATCTGCATGCCAACCATTTGATCTCAATCAGTTTCATGATAATATGCAATATGAACCGTTTAGAAATCACAGCACATTTTATACATAGTCCCCCCACCCCATTTTAGGGGACCAAAAGTATTTGGAAAAATGCACTTATATTTGTGTTGAAGTAGTCAAAAGTTTAGTATTTGGTCCCATATTCCTAGCACACAATCATTACATCAAGCTTGTGACTCTACAAACTTGTTGGATGCATTTAATGTTTCGTTTGGGTGTGTTTCAGATTATTTTGTTCCCAATAGAAATGAAAGGTAAATAATGTATTGTGTCATTGGAGTCACTTTTATTGTAAATAATATAATATGTTTCTAAACACTTCTAGATTAATGTGAATGATACCATGATTACGGATAGTCCTGAATGAATCATGAATAATGATTAGTGAGAAAGTTAGACGCACAAATATCATAACCCGAAGACATGCTAACCTCACCGTTACAATCACAGAGAAGGTTAGCATTTTGGGGGGGTATGATATTTATGCGTCTGTAACTGCGTCACAGCCAAAAGAGCAAAAACATTGTCACTGTCCCAATACTTTTGTAGTTCTCTGTATATAGTCTTGTTTTGAAGTACAGTGTTGTTTTGAATTATGCAGTGAGCAGATTTTAGCCTACCTTTTATTTTTTTCTATCTATTTCGCCTAGTGGTGCGTGCTGAATGCACAAAAAAAAAGCTAGTCATGTTGGCAATAGAATAGGCTTTGAAATTATGCCCACTGACCCCATTTTGAAAATTGTAATAGATTGTTTTGGCACTGCTAGGAAAGCTTTAAAAAAGGACCTAATAGTTTAAGGCTCTTTCCTTGAGTCATAAAAGTGTTTTGGAATTACTTAGGAACTGTGCACTCATTAGATAGTTAGTTATTTGGACATTAGGCCTCATTTTGTTTGTTCATTATTATCAAGTTATGCTTTATCTTGTAACCTTATGATCTTGCCTTTTATGTTTGAATTGATTCATTTGACTATGTTATTAAATATCTGTCCATTCTGACGTTTACTCTATTACTACACCACAATGCACATACTGTAGCTAATTATCTTATGAAGTAGATCAAATAATATGTACTGTATAGAATGTTAAATTGCAACTTACATAGTCTATGGGCTCCTGATCAAATGTGTTTCTTTCAGCCAAAGCATCCCATACAGAAGCAATCAGTTGTTATAATAAAGAACATAATCTGACGATGGAAAATCAGACAGTAGGATGTCAAATCGTGATTTCAAAGTACAATGTTTACAGTAGGCAAAAATCATCTTGTGGTCTTAACACATATGGAATCATGTAGTAACCAAATAAGTGTTAAACAAATCAAAATATATTTTATATTTGACATTCTTCAAATAGCCACTCCTTGCCTTGATGCCAGCTTTGCACCCAGAGGGTTAGAATGACACACTCAGTCTGGTCTCATTCCAAGGAACCTCATGGGTGGTCCTCTGTAGCTCAATTGGTAGAGCCCGGCGCTTGTAACGCCAAGGTAGTGGGTTCGATCCCCGGGACCACCCATACACAAAAATGTATGCACGCATGACTGTAAGTCACTTTGGATAAAAGCGTCTGCTAAATGGCATATTATTATTATTATTATTATTTATGTGGTTAGTGGCGCTCTCCATTCTCCAATGCCGTGGTGCTGAACTCGCCACGGCAAGCCTTGCATTTCTCCTGCGCTCGCTAGCAGTAGCTATCCGTGGTCCTGAAATAAAACGTTGGCGCACTATTAAAGGCGCACAGGTTAACATACACAGTTCTTCATTTTACCTGTGCCTTTTCCAATATAGTTAGGCTACAACATTCTGTTTGGAACACATTAATGCAAATCTGAGACTTTGAGGTCACTCGTTTCCTTCCGTCTTTCTACTGGAACAATGTTAGTTCATTGGACAAAGGTACTGGATAATTTTGTTCCAAATGCCACCCTATTCCCTTGAAAGTGCACTACTTTTGACCAGAGGCCCAGGCACATAATACAATGTTGATATATTAGTTATGAGCAGTGGATTGGGCTGATCAACTTTAGTACTTAGTGAATGTCTTATGAGTAATGATAAAACAAGCATCAAAAGTGATGAGAATATTGCATTTTGGCCGACTGACCTTCAACTTCGCAATAGGCCTATGTGATAGTCTAAAAATCGCGTCTTCATATCAGAGTTTATTATAGGGTAGGTGTAGCTAGGCTATATATTAAAATACAGAGGCCTACGTGTACATCAACATGGCTTATATAATTATATATATATAGTGGTGCTATTACGTTTATTACTTGTATTTTTCTGTTGGGTATAGGCCTACGCGAGTCATATTGACATGCAGCATGTTTAGCGCATGGTGACAGGTGCTTCTATCTGCTTGTGCTCTAGGCTACTTGTCCGCAGAAAATATTTTATGAAGGTGAAAGCCAAATCATGCCACAGCTGCTTTTTTTGAATAGGCAGTGAGAATTAATTGCATCATTGTTGCTGAGGACCATGGCAATAGAGGTGCGGTTGTAAGGCCATGCGAGTAATGGGGTTGAAAGGCCACAGGCTGTTGATTGTTTAAATTGTCTATTTTTGAGCTTCTCGAAGCGTCAATATCGATATAACGTTTCTATAAGCATTTATATACATACACTTGTTTTCTGCCATGAACCTTCTGCCTTGAACCCCTCTGTACAATATATGGTGTGACAAGGCCAAAAACCTCAGCTTTGATTCTACAGTAAATTCAATTATAGGGTAGACCAAAATCTCAAATTGAATATCAATGTATTCATATGACAGTGGTATTTACACAATGGAATAGAACATCTGAATGGTCTTAAAACAGCAAAAACACAGTCTACAAAACATTATCTTTCCCTGACAGACTGGCCAAATGAAAGCTATGATCCCTTATTGATGTCACTTGTTAAATCCACTTCAATCAGTGTAGATGAAGGGGAGGAGACAGGTTAAAGAAGGACGTTTAAGCCTTGAGACAATTGAGACATGGATTTACTCAATTAGAAAGAGAATTACTCCCGTCATCTTTCACCATGCAGTTCCTATTGGGCAAAATCTGAAACAACCAAAACAAGCTACAAATGCATCTAACAAGTCTGTAGAGTCACAAGCTTGATGTAGTCATTGTGTGCTAGGAATATGGGACCAAATACTACACTTTTGACAACTTTAACACACTAAGTGATCCAAATACAGTGAGGGAAAAAAGTATTTGATCCCCTGCTGATTTTGTACGTTTGCCCACTGACAAAGACATGATCAGACTATAATTTTAATGGTAGGTTTATTTGAACAGTGAGAGACATAACAAACAAAAAAATACAGAAAAACGCATGTCAAAAATGATATAAATTGATTTGCATTTTAATGAGGGAAATACGTTTTTGACCCCCTCTCAATCAGAAAGATTTCTGGCTCCCAGGTGTCTTTTATACAGGTAACGAGCTGAGATTAGGAGCACACTCTTAAAGGGAGTGCTCCTAATCTCAGCTTGTTACCTGTATAAAAGACACCTGTCCACAGAAAGCAATCAATCAATCAGATTCCAAACTCTCCACCATGGCCAAGACCAAAGAGCTCTCCAAGGATGTCAGGGACAAGATTGTAGACCTACACAAGGCTGGAATGGGCTACAAGACCATCGCCAAGCAGCTTGGTGAGAAGGTGACAACAGTTGGTGTGATTATTCGCAAATGGAAGAAACACAAAAGAACTGTCAATCTCCCTCGGCCTGGGGCTCCATGCAAGATCTCACCTCGTGGAGTTGCAATGATCATGAGAACGGTGAGGAATCAGCCCAGAACTATACGGGAGGATCTTGTCAATGATCTCAAGGCAGCTGGGACCATAGTCACCAAGAAAACAATTGGTAACACACTACGTGAAGGACTGAAATCCTGCAGCGCCCGCAAGGTCCCCCTGCTCAAGAAAGCACATATACATGCCCGTCTGAAGTTTGCCAATGAACATCTGAATGATTCAGAGGAGAACTGGGTGAAAGTGTTGTGGTCAGATGAGACAAATCGAGCTCTTTGGCATCAACTCAACTCGCCGTGTTTGGAGGAGGAGGAATGCTGCCTATGACCCCAAGAACACCATCCCTACCGTCAAACATGGAGGTGGAAACATTGTGCTTTGGGGGTGTTTTTCTGCTAAGGGGACAGGATAACTTCACCGCATCAAAGGCACGATGGACGGGGCCATATACCGTCAAATCTTGGGTGAGAACCTCCTTCTCTCAGCCAGGGCATTGAAAATGGGTCGTGGATGGGTATTCCAGCATGACAATGACCCAAAACACATGGGGGGATTTCAACCTCCCTACGTCCACATTTGACTCATTTCTCTCTGCCTCCTTCTTTCCACTCCTCTCCTCTTTTGACCTCACCCTCTCACCGTCCCCCCCTACTCACAAGGCAGGCAATACGCTTGACCTCATCTTTACTAGATGCTGCTCTTCTACTAATCTCACTGCAACTCCCCTCCATGTCTCCGACCACTACTTTGTTTCCTTTTCTCTCTCGCTCTCCTCCAACACTACTCACTCTGCCCCTACCAGATGGTAATGCGCCGCCGCAACCTTCGCTCTCCTCTCCCCACTACTCTCTCCTCTTCCATCCTATCATCTCTTCCCTCTGCTCAATCCTTCTCCCTCCAATCTCCTGATTCTGCCTCCTCAACCCTCCTCTCCTCCCTTTCTGCATCCTTTGACTCTCTTTGTCCCCTATCCTCCCGGCCGGCTCGGTCCTCCCCTCCAGCTCCGTGGCTTGATGACTCATTGCGAGCTCACAGAACAGAGCTCCGGGCAGCGGAGCGGAAATGGAAGAAAACTAAACTCCCTGCCGACCTGGCATCTTTTCACTCCCTCCTCTCTACATTTTCTTCATCTGTTTCTGCTGCTAAGGCCACTTTCTACCACTCTAAATTCCAAGCATCTGCCTCTAACCCTAGGAAGCTCTTTGCCACATTTTCCTCCCTGCTGAATCCCCCCCCCCCCCCCCTCCTCTCTCTCTGTGGA